TTCTTTGATATATTTTTGAATATTTACAGTCAATGTTATAGACATATCCAGTTAGTTGTAAATAACATGTGCTTTAATTAAAAGAAGTAGTTTAAAGGACAACATTAATTCCTTGACGAGCTAATGATATAATCTTAAAAAATATTCATATTCATACACAAAATTATTCATATTGTTAATTTTTAAACATAAACATAATTATTCATATTATGTTAATATTTAATACTAATTTGATTAAACAAAGTTTATATGAAAAGTATATAACTGTTTGGAAATAATATTACATTTAAAAAACGGAAACTTACTATTTTGCAAATTAATTTTTTTTTTTTAAAGGAAAAGAAAATATCAAATTTAATTTCGTATTTTATTTACAGCTATTAGTTAGAAAGCTCGTAAAAAGAATTATATACATAAAATAAACTTTCTACAATACCAATTATTTCTTTCCCACAAATAATGATTTGTAGATAATGTAAATATCTGCACTTACTTGATTCAAAGCTTGCTTAGTGGGAAATGTTACTACTGGATTCTGTCCATGTAATTCTTTTTTAGGTAATCTTTCCATACAAATTCTCATGCTTTGTTCTGAACCCAGAGATATCACACAGAAACCCTTAGATTGTCCATTAGCTCGATTTTCGAAGAATTTTACTTCAACAAAATCTGATACACCAATACTTTGAACTGCATCAGTTATGTCTTGGTCACTTGTCCACTACAATATAAATATGTTAACAAAATCTAAATAGCTACAAAAATATTGATCTTATCTCAGAGTTTTTAAAATAAAAGCTAACTAATGAAAATAAATTAATGTCTAATTACTTACCCAAGTCAAATTTCCAACATATAATTGATGACGTCTCCCAATTTGATTTGGCTGAATATTATTTCCAAGTTGATGGTAAGGCGCATTGCCATTTGTTTCCTCATTTGGTGAGGTAGTATCACCTCCACCATCTCCACTGTTTCCCGTAGAAACACCACCATTACCACCAGCAGGAGCTGCTATCACATCATCATACAAATCAACACCGTCACCAGCAAACTCATCCTAAAACAGATCATTGAACTGATAAATTGATTACCATAAAAATTCAATATAATTACAAAAGGAAAATAAGTATTTTTATAAATTATGTTATGAACATAATGTGCAGTTTCAATATTTATATAAATAAAAATATGATATTCATTTTTATTTCCAAATTATTGAAGTATGTAGTTTATGAATATTTTATAAATATTATACATGGTGCTAATAATAAATTCAAAAATAATTTGATATTATTCATTAAAATAGTAAAACAAAATTCTATTTATTTTTTTCAAAGTTCAAAAAAGTAATTACTAACATTATTTTTAAAAAAAACTTAAAAAATAATTAGTACATTAATTAATACATTAATAAATATTTTAATTCACAAACTATCTTTCAAATTTTTAATAAAGAACAATTCATAAATTATATACATGATATCTTCTTTTTATATATTTTTATAATAGTATGTATTTATTTCTATTACATTGCAACAAATATTTAATCATGAATAAAAATAGTTTTAAACAAATATATTCCTTCAAAATTAAATGAACATACTTATGAAGTATTTATTTATCAAAACGAATTTGAAGTTTAAAAAATACAAATTATTTACATGAGGACTACAAAATAACATATAACAAAGTACAAAATAATTGAAAAATTAATTTCTGAAAGGCTCTATCAACGCTTATTAAGATTATATACACATATGAAAAGAAGTTCACTTTTCGAATAGTCACTAGTCACAGTTTGTCGAAAAAAAAAAAAAAAA